CCTTGCTGCAGGCTCTGGAGACAGAGAGAGGCTGAGCTCTCACTACCAGCTGCTTCATCCTTTCTCCTTAGCGTTTGGTCCAGGGGGCAAAGGATTGATTCCACTTGGGGTGCCCTGGACTCATGCACTTAAGAAATGCACCTGCTGCGTGTCAGGCACTGTTCTAGGCTTTGGGGCTAGAGCTGTGGAGCCATCAAGTGTCCCAGGGGACAGCAAACAGGATCAATAGATAAGTAAAAGTATATCACGTGTTAGATGATGAGTGCAGGGTTGAAAATGTCAGGCAAGGAAGGGAAGAGAAAATATTGGGGGCCAGGGAAGGCTCCACGGAGAAGGGAGCTTTTGAGTAAAGACAAGAAGCGGGTGAGGACACCTCTGTGGGGCTCCAGGGGAGAAGCATTCCAGGAAGAAGGAATAGCAGGGCGAAGGCTCTGGGATGGGAGCACACCTGGTCAGTCTGCGGACGGCAGGGAGGCCCCTGTGGCTGCAGAGAGTGGGCAGAGAGGGAGACAGGGTTAGGGAGGGAGAGGCATTAGGTCCCACCACACTCTGGACGGCCATAAGGACTTGAGCTTCTCCGAGTGAGCGGGAGCCCCGGGGAGAGTCAGGAGAGGAGACTCTGGCTGCGCCGTGGGGAAGAAATGGCTGGAGTTTAATCAGGAAGCAATTGACCTGATTTCAGGGAGAAAGTGCGATTGCCTGGCCCATGGGGGAGATGGCAAGGGTCCGATCGTGGATGTTTATGTTGACAGAGAGCTTTGCAGGTGGATTGGATGCAGGAACTGAAAGATGGGAGGAACAGTGGCCAAGATGGTTGCCCAAGTTACCCAGAGGAAAGGGGAGCGGCTTCAGGAGGAGCTGGAGGGATGGTGACATCAGGGCTTGGCTGTGGCGTGGCACTCGAGGTCTATTCTACAGCCAAATGACATCAACAGATGTCAGCGTAGTACCAAGCCACACATCAAGGGATGTCGGGTCCGGACTGTACCAAGCCAGTGATTGCCAAATCCTAGTCCTTCCCTCCGTTTTCATCATACGTCTGTGTGTCATTTGTGCTATTACTTGCTTTTTAAAAATCCGCCGTAAGTTTGTTTGTTTTCGTTTTTTTAAAGAGGATTTCCACTACCTTAAAAGCTGAGGTTACTTGCCCTAAGCAGAAGGAAACCAGGCCACACAATTAATCTAAGGCAATGCCACCCTCTGCCTAGAGCTCCAAGCAGCCTTTCCCACCACCAGCATCCCTGGTGTTTAGTGATGTGACCCTGTGCCACCCCCACCTGGTGTGCCTGATGAAGTCACCACTAGGTAACCCCCTTCTGGGTCCCAAGAGACCATTCTGAGCTGAGCTGAAGCCAGGAGTAGCCCAAGAGCATGGGGACCTCACTGCACTTCCTCAGGACACTGTTACCCCACCCATGTGACTAGGACATTTCATGAACGTGAAACTCAGCACCTGCCTCTACTGGGTTTGAGTCTTCACTGCCTTCCCAGCCGCACAGCCTTAGCCAGTCATTCAACTCCCCCGGCTCGGTTCCCTCTTCTGTAAAATGGGCCACTGGGAGAATTGAGCGATGAATGTCTTCAGCGCAGCCATAAGCATTCAGCCAGTGATAGTCGCCACTATTAATTACAATGATGACTGTTGGCATAGAAAACTGCCCTCTTCCCCAGGAAGCAGTTGGAGTGTTCTCAAATCAGAAGGTTAGGTCAGCCTTGGTGGCTCACACTTGTAATCCCAGCACTTTGGGAGGCCGTGGCGGGCAGATCACGAAGTCGGGAGATCAAGACCATCCAGGCCAATATGGTGAAACCCCATCTCTGCTAAAAATGCAAAACATCAGCTGGGCTTGGTGGCATGTGCCTGTAATCATAGCTGCTCGGGAGGCTGAGCAGGAGAATCGCTTGAACCTGGGAGTCGGAGGTTGCAGTGAGCCAAGATTGCGCCACTGCACTCCAGCCTGATGACAGAGCAAGACTCCGGCTCAATTAATAAATAATCAATGAGAAGGGTGCAACACCCAAACTTTCAGGGGTCAGGCAGGTAATGAGACTGGGTGCGGGTGGTGTAAGACTGTAGGGAGTGCCGGGGAGTGCAGCAAACTGGAGAGCATGTATTCTGTGTGAGGCTATTTAACGTCAGTTTTTAAAAATCCACTCTGCAAGTCACCAAGAACACACAAAGAGATCTGTGGACACCACCTGGTTTGGACTCCTGAGATATGAAAACCCAAGAGTGTAAGATGATATTTTAGTTGTTAATTTAGCTGGTATCTGTTGAGCGTATGTGCCAGGCACTGTGCTAGGCAGTGAACAAAGTAGGCTGAGCCCTCCCCTTGCAGAGGGCTCTGGTGAAGGCAGCAACATACAAATAAGTGAAATCAAAATGACTCATGTTCAAGGACAGTAACTGCTGTGGAGAGACACGGAGCAGGAAAGCAGAGTGGAGAGTGCTAAGGGTCGGGGGAGGCAGTTTCACTACATGCCCGGGAAGACCTCTCCAAGAAGGTGGCGTCTGATCAGTACCTTGAAGGAGGCAGAGGGAGCCCTGTGATCGGAGGGGTGAGAGCATCGCAAGCTGGGGGTATGGCTAACACAGAGGCCACGGTGGCCATTGTGCAGTCCTGGACTTCAAGGGCACGACCTTGGTGCCTTGATTGGTGGTGAAAATTCAAAGTTGAAGGAGCTGACTGGTGAGCAGAGGGCGTTCCCCAGATCGCAGGAGGCTGCGGTGGGTCTGATGCTTGTTTTCCGATCTCTAGGGGGTTGCTAGGTGAATGGGATCACAGTGATCACATGCCTGGTAGACCCTATTTTGGTTTCCCACTGCTGTCCTAACTGATCACAAACTGGGTGGCTTAAAACACCAGAAGCTGACTCTCAACAGTTCTGGAGGCCGGAAGTCCAAAATCAAGGTGTTAGCATGGCTGTTCTTCCTCAGAGCGCTCCAGGGAAGAACCTTCCTTGCCTCTTCCAGCCCCAGGGGACCCCAGGAGTTCCTTATTCCTTGGCTTGTACGTGCCTCCCTCCAGTCTCTGCTTTCCTTTGAATGTGGCCTTCCCCTCTGTGCCTGTGCATCTTCTCCACTTTGTCTCCTGTGGGGACACTTGTCACTTGATGTAGGGCCCACCGGGGAATCCGGAACAAATCTCACCTCAAGACCCTCAACTTAGTTACATCTGCAAAGACCCTCTGGATGTCTGTTTTCATGCTGCTGATAAAGACATACCTGAGACTATGTAATTTATAAAGAAAAAGAGGTTTCATGGACTCACAGTTCCACGTGGCTGGAGAGAATGAGAACCAAGCAAAAGGGGAAACCTTTTATGAAACCATAGATCTCATGAGACTTATTCATTACCGAAAGAACAGTATCGGGAGAACCACCCCCGTGATTCCATTGTCTCCCATCAGAGCCCTCCCAAAACACATGGGAATTATGGGAGCCACAATTCAAGATGAGATTTGGGTGGGGACACAGCCAAACCATATCACCCTCTTTCTAAATATGGTCATGTTCACAGACTCCAGAAATGAGGACATGGTCCTATCTTTAGGGGATGGGGACACCATTCAACGCACTGCACACCTTAAGAACTGCAAGGAAAAGGGGGAAAACCAAGGATGGCCGTAGAAGGAAGAGAAAGGATTTCCATGGAATGTTTCCATCACATCACTAAGTGGGTACCAACCACAGCATACAATTGAGCATGTACTCTTCACACCTATGTTGAGTACCCACTGTGTGTCACACACAGCAGCAATGCTGAGGATTCAGCACTGAGCAGAGCACACGGCCTTTGCCCTCCTGGGACCGTGGCCTGCACACAGTAGGGCCCCCATGTAGATTCACTTGCTTCCTTCCTTCTTTCCTTTCTTCCTAAGTGCCTTGCTCTGCTTACAGCTTAGTTGAGAAATAAGAGCAGGCATGGCCAGGTGAGGTGGCTCAAGCCTGTAATCCCAGCACTTTGGGGGGCAGAGGCAGGTGATCACTTGAGGTCAGGAGTTTAAGACCAGCCTGGTCAACATGGTGAAACCCTGTCTCTACTAAAAATACAGAAATTAGCTGGGTGCGGGGGCTACTCGGGAGGCTGAGACAAGAGAATCGCTTGAACCCGTGAGGCAGAGATTGCAGTGAGCCAAGATCACACCACTGCACTCCATCCTAGCAACAAAGCAAGACTCTGTCTCAAAACAAAACAAAACAAAACAAAACAAAAAACATAAAAAACAAGAGCGGGCATGGCCGAAACCCTGAAGTCTAGGATATGATCAGTACTCAGAGCTCTGAAGCCCCAGCAGCCGGAGTGGTCCCAGAGGCTACCTGTGAGAGGTGTGCTAGGCTGATAGGTTGGATTTGGGGTGAAGGGTAGTGGGTTCCAAGCTAGAAGAAAAGCGGACAAGAGGCCAGCAGGGTTTGTGGCTGATGGCAGGACACCTCAGCCAGGGAGTACTCGGAGAGAAGGTTTGCCACCAGGTTGGCGTGACCAGATTTCAATAAAAGCAAACAATTCTTGGGAAGAGTCCAAAGAAAACAAAGTGTAATCTTCCCTCAGTTTACATGGTGGTTGGTTTCCAAAATTAAAAAAAAAAAAAAAATGTATATTAATACCCTGTGAAAACGATGTTCTGTTTAAAATTTGTAAAACAGTTTGATTCCAGCCTCAGGTCATTTATAAACAGGTTTTTACCTGTCCTGCAGGCAGAGATGCAATTACAGTACAGGACAGTGTCACTACAGTCACTTATAGTGACTTACAGTCACCTTCAGCCCTAAACTTCAGACCTAGACCGCGGGAGTGTCCAGGCAGACTCGGGACCCAGGGTTCTCCCTGACTGCACAGGACTGCCCCACCGTGCAGCAGTGGACCCTGCCCCTTCTGCCCCGTAGGTCTGCAGAATGTGCCTTCTCGAGTTCTAGGGATGCCACGTGCCGAGAGCCACCCGGTGCCAGTGCCCCCCCATCTCCCGCCCCACGCCTCACTTCCGCCCTCGCCTCGCAGGTTCCATGCAGGTGATGAACAAGACCCGGCGCATCATGGAGCAGGGCGGGGCACACTTCATCAACGCCTTCGTGACCACACCCATGTGCTGCCCCTCACGCTCCTCCATCCTCACCGGCAAGTACGTCCACAACCACAACACCTACACCAACAACGAGAACTGCTCCTCACCCTCCTGGCAGGCACAGCACGAGAGCCGCACCTTCGCCGTGTACCTCAACAACACCGGCTACCGGACAGGTGAGCAGGGTGGGGGGCGGCGGGCGCAGCAAGGGAGTGACAGCCGGGGTCCTCGCCAGAGACCTCCTCTGGGCGTCCCTGGGTGCAGTTGGGCACCACTGCCGTACCCGAGGCGATTCTGGAGAGCCCTTAGAGCAACTCTCTCATAATTTCAAAGTTGTGCATTTATTTGTGTGTGTTAGAGAAAGACATTTTTCTTTGCTTACAGTAGTGATGTAAAGTGACCTTGTCAAAGGAATTTGAGTCCCCCAAAAAGTGAAATAAGCAGTAGGCCCTTATTGAAGACACACCTGCAGCTTGGGTCCAGAAAGTACAGCCATGCATACTCAAGACTGGCCAACCTTGAAATATTTTAAAGTCTGAAATTTCACTGAAAATCTCCTTATTTTTAAAGTCTTTTCAAAATATGAATTACAGAGCAGAGAGGCCCCAAGGTGCCCATGCATGAGTTGGCATCCTCTGTTAATTGTTACTAAGCCCATCAGGGACTGTTTTATTGACTATAAACCATCAGCTTGGAAGAAGGTTCCAGAACATGGGGGCGGGGGATGGGAATTTGTGGAGAGGAACAGATACTTCTCTGTGTGGTTGCTGTCTACGTGGAGGTAACCAGGGTGGTGCAGAAGCTGATGTGGTGGTTGACTGCCCACACTCACCCAGTAAGTGTCATCCTGGGTGCAGGGCCCCCCAGTTCCTGTCTGCTTATCCTGCAGGAGGGCCTCGGTGGGCTCTGAAGGCTCACCTGCCAGGCTGGTTGTCTGAGGTACAGATGCAATTACAGTATAGCCACTGACCTCCAGCACCATTGCAAAACCCTCCAGACTCAATGCATTTAACTTGCTTTAATTAAAAATAAATAAATACTCCCCACCTTGGGTAAGAAGCCGTGGCGGTTGTGAAATCAAATATTGTGGCTCAGATGTTGCAACCCCAGGAAGTTGCATCCAAGTGACAAGGGGTTTGTTTGGGTAGGAGTGCTTCAAGGGAAGGTTGGACGCCTCCTTCAGCCCTGTTCACAGCCCTGAACCTGCAGCCCTTGAGGCTGGGCAGCTTCCTGTCAGATACACAGTGTGGGCTGGCAGGGACACAAGCCAGCCAGATGTGTCTTCCTACAGCCTCATCCCACAGCCAGAATCGCCTAGAAAGTACATTCTGCTGAGAACTAGGGATGCCTCATTCATATACCTTCTTCCTGTATATCATGTGTGCCATTGTGCAGAACCCACCACCTACCTGTTGGTTCCCCTGGGCCTCTGCAGAAAGCCACATGTGTCAGAGGCTATCATGGCCACCACTCTAGGTGGTTGAGGGGCCTGGGTGTTGCTAGCAGAAGCAGGACAGGCAGGCCTGCAGCAGAGCAGTGGGCCCTTATTGAAGACACACCTGCAGCTTGGGTCCAGAAAGTACAGCCATGCATACTCAAGAGTGGCCAACCTTGAAATATTTTAAAGTCTGAATATTTCACTGAAAATCTCCTTATTTTTAAATATACCAGCACAACTTATTTTTTCTTTAATATATACTGGGAGCCAAAGAAAATTTGTCTGAGGGGCGAGTGTGCGGCTCACAGACTCTCTTTTCACAACCTCTGGCTGAAAGGCCAGTACAGAAGCCTTTCATTTTGGATGCTGGAAGATTAGTAAAGACCCTAAATCTGTTCTTAGCACTCCCCCTCATTTCACAGCCAGGGCCACTGTAGCCCAAAATAGAGATCTGCCCAGAATCAGAGTGAGGTGTTTGTGGCATAATCAAAATGGAGTGCAAGACCATGGGAATTCAGAGGGGAGCATGGAAATCGTATTCCATCAAATTGAAAGGAAACTCACATATTCTGTGACATACTGAGGGCTCAGAGTGGGAGCTAAAGGCAAGTGTTTCAAAATCTTACAGGCGACATGAGAAAACGAACCATCTCAAGAGTAAATATTCTCTGAAGTGGACTCCCCAAACTTGTCGTTGAATGTACACAAATCACCAAAAGCATCTCCCTAAAGAAGTGCTTTTATTCAACTATGCTTCACTATTATGTCCTCCTGAACACTGGGAGCATAATGTCAAGTGTAAAGAGCCAGACACAGATGACATTTACACTTTTGTAAAACCACCACTGAGAATTTTATTCATTATATTTAGAATGCCACTCTGTACAAGGAATCCCATTCCAACCTTACTTTCAGAACTCTGAAAACACCTATTTAGTCTGATGAACTGGTGTACTCCTGGTTATTAAATAACAAGAGCCACATACCCTGTGTTCTTTCCCTCTTTGCCCTGGCAGCTAGGAAGCTCAGGTTTGAGTTTTATATTAAGTTGTTGTTTAAAGTGGAAACCTTTTAAAATCCAACTGCATTATATGTTATAGTGATCAGTGTTGACTAAGAAAAATGACAAAAAAACTATAATGAATTCAGAAACCTGTTAGATTTTTTCTTTTAGATTGATCTGTACACACACATTAGAATATATAGTAAATTTTTAATCCCCCAAGGACTAAAAGTAAATCATTCCTGCTGAGTCTTCAACCATGTTAAACCTTGTGTTCATGTGGCCACCTAGCGAAGTTGGATTTAAGTTTGGCTGTATGTGTGACAGAGACCCAGGATGTCAGCCGAAATTCCAAGTTGCTCTGGTAGCCCTGCTCTTTGAAGTGGTCAGAAACTCAGACTTTATTTCTCCTTACTTCCCATTGGTGAGAAACAAGGCACAGGGCCATGCGTTGCTGCAAAGGGACCTGGGAAATGTAGTCTTATTCTGGGTGTACATACGCCCAGTTGAAAATTATTTTACTGTAGGAGAAGAAGAAAATGGATACTGAGGGACAAGTAAAGTCTTGGCCACCCTAACAGTTATTAGCCATTTGTATTTGTGATACCCGTTTGAATAGAGGAGGTCAGCCCAAAATGAGGAAGACTGACCTGAGAAAAACGCTACTTAAGTGGACCAACATTTCATTATAAATAATGCTTTTAATGTATTTAGTAAGGTATTTGATCTTGAAATGAAACTATAGTATTTCAAGAATAACTGTTATGCTATATCTTTTTTTTTTCTTCTTCTTCTTTTTCTTTTTTTGAGACAGTCTCTCTCTGTCGCCCAGGCTGGAGTGCAGTGGCACAATCTTGGCTCACTACAACCTCCGCCTCCTGGGTTCAAGCGATTCTCCTATCTCAGCCTCCTGAATAGCTGGGATTACAGGCGCCTGCCACCACGCCCACCTAATTTTTGTAATTTTTGTAGAAATGGGGTTTTGCCATGTTGGCCAAGCTGGTCTTGAACTCCTGGCCTCAAGTGATCTACCTGCCTTGGCCTCCCAAAGTGCTGGGATTACAAGCATGAGCCACTGCACCTGGCCCTCTGATAGGTTGCATCTAATGGTATTTAACAAAGATTGGGCACTAGTCGAAACTAATGAGTTGATTTTTTTTTTTTTTTTTTTTTTTTTGAGATGGAGTTTTGCTCTTGTTGCCCAGGCTGGAGTGCAATGGAGCCATCTTGGCCCACTGCAACCTCTACCTCCCAGGTTCAAGCAATTCTCCTGCCTTGTCCTACCGAGTAGCTGGGATTACAGGCATGCACCACCATGCCTGGCTAATTTTGTATTTTTAATAGAGACAGGGTTTCTCCGTGTTGGTCAGGCTGGTCTTGAACTCTCGACCTCAGATGATCCGCCCACCTTGGTTTCCCAAAGTGCGGGGATTACAGGCATGAGCCACCATGCCTGGCCATAAGTTGATTCTTTAAGCAAGTGAACTGATAAAGTGTAGGGAAGAATATGATATGTTTCACAAATTTAAATGGATAGCAAGATGATATCCCTTACTTCACCAGGGTATTTTTTGCAAAAGTATTAGAGGATTTTATCAGTTTTTCCAAGGGCCTCTCTTAATTCTTTGACATCTGAATCTTCCCCTGTGAAGTGCATATCATACGTCATTATGCTTCTCAATGGTCTCTTCTCATTCATGTAGTATCTTTATGAACCAGTAATTATTTGTCAGTGGATTTGCGTGTGTTTTTTGAGCTATCTTCCAGCGTCACTTTAATTAATTTCACAAACCCCGCATATTTTAAAAGATTCACAGCTTCATTTTGCAGTGATCTGGCTTTGCGTTGCCCCATGTTTGCAGTGGAAATTGATAAAGGACAAAGTGAGAGATGCTGAGTTGAAGCAGGATAAATATTTGTTCATGAATATTTCTCTGTATGGCTTCTTACAACTGGGGGGACCTGTATCTCAGATATAAGAACCCTTGGAAGCGTAAATTGCATCCTCAGTTTTTTGGTTTTTGTTTTTTGTTTTTTTGGAGACAGGGTCTCACTCTGTTGCCCAGGCTGGAGTGCAGTGGCACAATATAGGCTCACTCCAACCTCCACCTCCTAGGTTTGAGAGATTCTCCTGCCTCAGCCTCCCCAGTAGCTGGGATATAGGTGCATGCCACCATCCCTGCTAATTTTTTTGTATTTTTAGTAGAGACGGGGTTTCACCATGTTGGCCAGGCTGGTCTTGAACTCCTGACCCCAAGCGATCCACCCGCCTTGGCCTCTCAAAGTGCTGGGATCACAGGCGTGAGCCACCATGCTCAGCTGCTCACCTGTATCCTTTGTTTAGGGAGCAAAAAATTCAATGTGTTTTTGAAACCAGCTGCAGTCAGGGTTCCTGTCCGTTGGATCTAAAGGCAATCTATTGCCATGAGCGTCACACATCTTCAAGAGCAAACAGGGCAGCCAGGAAGTGCATTCAAGTGCCCTCGCAGAACTCACACATTACCTTCTCAGAATCAAGGGGGACAGAGCCAGAGTAGAATTGCTGAGTGGAAGGAGATGCCCATTTTCAGCTTTGCCAGAAATTAGCAAACTGCTCTTCTAAGTGGAGGGACCAACCCATTTGCCATCCCACTGCTAGTGCATGGACTCCCTGCTTTCCCATGTCCTCACCAACATTTGGTGGGATGGGACCTTTTCATATTTGCAATGGTCATGGCTGAGATGTGATAATGCAC